CTCATTTCTTCTTTTCAGTTCCGTCGTCCCACAAACCAGTGTCCTGCATCTGACCGGGTCAAGCAGGTTCCTACAGCATAAGGTAAGTTAAATTCAAGACTTTTTAATGCCTTGTGAAATAAAAAGTAAAGACCAACTTCACAATAAACAAGAAAAACTGTGTTGCGACATATTTACCCGAATGTTTATTTTAACTTTAACCATTACTTTCTGGCCCAGTAGAAATGTTTCAAATTTTTAAAAATATTCCATATAGGAAGAAAGCTAAAAACACCATAACAGATTTATTTTTAACAACTACTGAACTTCATTCATGAACTTATTTTTTCCTACTCAAAGTCCACCATAGCTCTGCTTTTATTATCTGGGGAATTGGTGCTACTGGCGCTGTTGTTGATGTGTGAGATCCTGTGGAGGCGTGGCAGAAGCAAAGGTGGAACAGAACGGAGAAACACCTGCTGCTTCTCTGTAACCTGATTTTGATGCTTCGCATGTGTGACTCCACTGCCTTCATTCCCATCATGTCTCCTAAACTTTCCCTGGTTCTGTTTTTAGCCATGCAGAAAACTGATGGCCAGATAGACTGTTTTCATTGAGTTTCCATTCTCCCATGTTGACCAGATGAAAAGTTAGTGCTGCCTCACCCAAGGTCCAGCTGCAACATCATTTTTAACACTAGAAATCCCACAGATACGAGAATATTCGTCCGCCTGGAGTCCCCCACAGTACTTATCAACTCATAAATCCCTTTTCAGATATAAATGCCCCATTAGCGCTGTGGCCGGAGAAACATTCCACCCCCTTCAGTTTCAGTTTTAACTCAAGTCTCTCTCTTTGAGAGTGTTTTACCTGAGAGCAGGAGGAGGGAAATCATATTTATAATTAAATATAACTAGGTCTACGTCATCAGTGTCGCCAACACCGCAATGATTTCAGCTCAGCCAGCCGCGCAGCAATCAGACAATAACTGATCTGCACAATAAAAATAGCTGCATGAGCTGGAACGCTGTAGAAAGCAACGATATTTATACAATAATGACCATTTATACAATAATGACCATCCGGCTTATTTATTTGGGGGGAAATATAACTCAAGAGATCTCTCCTCTCTCTCTCCTCCACTGCAGACACGCAGACAGCATCGGGAAACTGCAGTAAAGTTTGCAATATTATCACAGATTCGGCTTTTCTGGATTAATAACTCGTCGGCGGATTATTTATTCTACAAAACAGACAATTCTCCCCAACCACAGCAAGGCAGACAGTGAGCTACAACCGTAGTTTCCTCAAAATGAGTCTCCTATTGCGCTGGCAGGATTACATTGGACCCTATGGGGAGCTCACTGCTCCAAAAATGCACAGGAGGAGCGAGCCCTGCAAGTTGCAAAATAATCAGAGAGAAATATTTAAAAGCGTCACCAAGGAGAGGTGGATTATTTTCACATGTA